TTCCCTGTGGCTTGCCTCAATTTAAATAGTATGTCTTAATGTTTCCCTTTACTATTACCTTTATTTAAAGCCTCCTTCCTGACTGTGATGATACTTTGAAGTATGGCTAAGTCAGACAACTTTCTTTTTTTAGCCTATAGAAATAGTTTATAGTCAATATTTTAAGTAGTACATAGCCTTCTTATTGAGGCCCTAAAATAACCTTGAATAGATATATTGCACAGAAAATAAAATGCTATGCTTAGGCATTATTTTCAATGCGTGTTTTCTCCAGTGTATAAATTTATAATAGTAACCGAATTAACAAAAAATACTTTACACATGCATGCTTGACATAGAAATAAAATAAATGAATAATAGATTTCTGTGCACAAATACAGTGAATTTTTACTTTTGATTGTTACATTTTCCAAGTTTGGCTTCTTCAATACATTTATTTGAATAAATGAATTAAAACAGAAATAGTTAAGAATGGTTGAATGTAAAAAAAAGAACCCACAAAATAGCTGTATAATGTTATATATCCTTATATAGCAGAATGTTTTATAAATATTTATTAAAAATTCAAACATTAGGGACCTGCACAGGGTATAGAAATTATGTCACCAGACTCCCACATAGTTGCCTGCGGTTTGAGTCCTGGACCTGACAACTTAAAATTCACACTGGGTGTGTGTGCCCAAAATCCTAAGAGAATGGAAGAGAAGGGATTGCGGCATGGCCATCTCCCCTTGGGGGTGATTTCTCGCTTTCTGTCTCTGGCAAGTGCAGGTACCCTATAGCAAAAAATCTCTTAAAAATTTGAAAGATTAAATTATGGAAAATAAAATAATATATTCATAAATAGTGTATAACACATTCTTCTTGTTCAAAAGATAAAATATCAAATAAAGCACTGATTATTTTAAAATTCAGCAATACTGTTTTTTTTTTTTTTGGAGAGATTTTCACTGTAGGGCGCGTGCGCTCGCCAGACAGACAGAGAGAGACATAGAGACAGAAAGCGAGAGATCACCCC